CAGGCATTCCGAGATGAGATGGGGACGTGTCCAGCGGTGACTTAATCTCTGCCACACACCTGCCTTGAATTATGTACAAAGGTCCCTCCTGGCTAGGGTAGACAGAGGCAGCTCACCCATTTGCAGTGTGATTGTTAACTTTTCTTTTCTTATCTTTTTTTTTTTTTTTTTTTTTTTGACAGGCAGAGTGGACAGTAAGAGAGAGAGACAGAGAGAAAGGTCTTACTTTGCCGTTGGTTCACCCTCCAATGGCCGCCGCGGCCGGCGCGCTGCGGCCGGCGCACCGCGCTGATCCGATGGCAGGAGCCAGGAGCCAGGTGCTTTTCCTGGTCTCCCATGGGGTGCAGGGCCCAAGCACTTGGGCCATCCTCACTGCACTCCCTGGCCACAGCAGAGAGCTGGCCTGGAAGAGGGGCAACCGGGACAGAATCCGGCGCCCCGACCAGGACTAGAACCCGGTGTGCCAGAGCCGCTAGGCAGAGGATTAGCCTAGTGAGCCGCGGTGCTGGCTGATTGTTAACTTTTCAATACAGAACCCAGGGGTTCTTATAGCTCTCAGATTTTTATTGAGTTATCCCCAGTTGTGTTAGCAATTTGATGTTTTAAAAATTATATATCGGGCCAGTGCCGTGGCTCACTAGGCTAATCTTCCTCCTTGCGGCGCCGGCACACCGGGTTCTAGTCCCGGTCGGGGAGCCGGATTCTGTCCCGGTTGCCCCTCTTCCAGGCCAGCTCTCTGCTGTGGCCAGGGAGTGCAGTGGAGGATGGCCCAGGTCCTTGGGCCCTGCACCTCATGGGAGACCAAGAAAAGCACCTGGCTCCTGGCTTCAGATCAGCGCGATGCGCCGGCTGCAGCGCGCAGGTCACGGCGGCCATTGGAGGGTGAACCAACGGCAAAGGAAGACCTTTCTCTCTGTCTCTCTCTCACTGTCCACTCTGCCTGTCAAAAAAAAAAAAATATGTATCGGGCCGGCGCCATGGCACAGTGGGTTAATCCTCTGCCTGTGGTGCCGGCATGCCATATAGGCGCAGGTTCTAGTCCCACCTGCCCCTCTTCCAATCCAGCTCTCTGCTGTTGCCTGGGAAAGCAGTAGAGGATGGCCCAAGTCCCTGGGCCCCTGCACCCGCATGGGAGACCCGGAAGAGGCTCCTGGCTCCTGGCTTCGGATTGGCGCGGCTCCGGCTATTGCGGCCATCTGGGATAGAAGACCTCTCTTTCTGTCTCTCCCTCTCACTGTCTGTATCTCTACCTCTCAAATAAATAAATAAAATCTTTTTTAAAAAAAGTTATATATCAATCTCCCAATTTTCTTTGGAAAAAAAAAACAGAGCCCAACTTTCCAAGTGGTGGGAATCCCTTAGCGTGACCTCAGCTACCCAGGCTGGACGGGGGAGAGGGGTGGGGGGCTGAGACGGCCTTCCTGCAGCCTGAGAACTCCCTGCGGTGCGGGGCTGGCCCTAAGCTTGAGAGACCACGTGCTCCAGCCCTCCCTCCAGCCCCAGGGAGGCCAGCTCAGACCCTGGCGCGCGTTCTCACTGTTGCCCTCAGTCACTGCTTCCTCCGGGCTGAAAGGCAACACCTGCTCAGCCCTAGCCTCTCCTGCTGTCACCCTCCCACCTGTTCCCTGCCGCAGCTCACCCTCACCCTCGTCGGCACGCAAGTCCCCATGTCTTTGCACTCAGCATTCCTGGGTGTTCCAACTGCTCCTCTGGTGTGTGCTTCCTCCTTGACCCCCGGCCCCAGGAGGCAGGCAGACAATCTCCTTGACTGCTCGTTGAGCCCCCAGCTCATGGGTGCAAACTGGAGGGGTGAGTGGGGAAGACTCCCAGCCTGGCCCTGCCCACATTGGTGGAACCCCAGCCGGTGCCACCCATGCTGCCATGGTAATACGGCCACTCTCTTCCAGGTTCCCTCAGATGCTTCTAAGCCAGCTAGCAGGGAGGGCCAGTTTATCACCAGGTGGCCCCCAAAAAGAACCACCTGTTTATCCTAATTCAAATCATATGGAGATGCCACCTCTTGGTCACATCCCAGTTCTGGCACCTCCAGATGCATTCTTTTTTCTTTTTCTTTTGAAAGATTTATTTATTTGAAAGGCAAAGTTACAGAGTGGGGGTGAGAGAGATTTTTCCATCCGCTGGTTCACTCTTCAAATGGCTGCAACAGCCAAGGCTGGGCCAGGCCGAAGCCAGGAGCTTCTTCCTGGTCTCCCGCGTGGGTGCAGGGGCCCAAGCACTTGGGCCAAATTCCGCTGCTTTCCCAGGCCATTAGCAGGGAGCTGGATCGGAAGTGGAGCAGCCGGGACTCGAACTGGCGCTCATTTTGGGGTACTGGTGTTGCAGGTGTGGCTTAACCCACTCCGCCAGTGCACCAGCCCCCATTTAGTCCTTCCTTCATGCATCACTCACTCGACGTAGCTGGGACCAGCACGATGAGACGGTCCTGCCCGCAGTCCTCGCAAAGGACCAGAAGAGCAAACAGCTGATTACGATCTGGCGGCCGGCAAGCGAAGCTGCCCTGCCTGGGAGGCAGGTGGGGGCCAGGGCCACCCCAGGTTGATGGTCTTCAGGTCTTGCTGTGTGGCCAGGCCTGTCTGGGGGTTAGGGTGGAGGAAAAGGCTACCCGAGTGACCCTGTGGGTACAAAGGGCACATCCCTCAGGGGTTCCAGGGCAGGGGTAAATTACAAGCGGAGCTGCCGTCAGCAGGGGGCTCTGTGGGGCGATCGGAGGGAGCCTGGCTGAGCTGAGGTCTACTCCAGCTTACAGAACGACAGCCCAGGGCCCTGTGCGGAACGCCGGCACCTGTCTCTCAGCCGCCGCTGGGGCTGACGGTGTCCAGCAGGGTGGAGTAGAAGGCCAGGGTCTGGGGCCGAGAGGCCTGGGGCAGGACAGCCGCAGGGGTGGTGAGATGTTCCACTCTTCATGGCTCTGAGGGGGGCACTCGGGTCATCCGTTCACTCACTGTTCACCCTCTGCTGCCCTGGCCGCAGCCAGGCAAGCCCTGGGCAGGACCGACTGGTGCCTCGAGGGCTTAGCAAAGCCGGGGGGGGGGGGGAGCGCCCAGGATTCAGAGGGGGCAGGAAGAAGGGCTCTCTGGAAGGGCCAGACCTGGCTCCCCACGTCCACAGGGCGTGTCTCAGCCCCTTTTGGGAGAAGCACCCACAATGATCCAGCCAAGAGACCTTTTTTTTTTATTTTTGATAGGCAGAGTGGACAGTGAGAGAGAGAGACAGAGAGAGAAAGGTCTTCCTTTGCCGTTGGTTCACCCTCCAATGGCCGCCGCTGCAGCCTGCGCACCGCGCTGATCCGATGGCAGGAGCCAGGATCCAGGTGC